AACATGTTGTCACATGTTGGCTTTTCCATTTGATCAGTGGGTCCCTAAATTAGAGAATTCCTGTTTCCTTCTTTATTAAGAATATTCTTATCTCTAAAGATACCTAATCTTTGTCTCCCCAAGGCCATAATCAAAAGAAGAGGATGTTTTTGGAAAGCAAAGAAAATGTGAAGCGCTTGAAGACTTCAGAGCAAATTAATGAAAGTATTTGTGTAGTTCTAGAAAGGCAAACAGCAGTGCTAGAACAGGTAAAATATTGGAGCTTAAATATTTGCTTCGGCAACTACTTTTGATTAGTAAGAATGCTAAAAGTTAAATCAACTGTTCTTCTCAATGATGCAGTAAAGGTGGTTTTGACTTAATTTTTTTTGCTACATAAAAAGCAAATTCGTGCAGAGTTATTTGCATTACTAAAATATCTCTCCTTTCTTAAAATTGATTGCAGATAAGAGTAACCTAGGGACTCGTGTGTAAGTAGAGTCCTGTTATAGAAGAAGGACTTTTTAGTACGTATTACTCTCAAATTTCTGTGAGCGTCAGTAACTATATGACTTTTTGGTCCTGCAGTCCTTTAGGTACAACTGTATTTGTCTGTATACCTCATCACAATTGTTCATATAGGTAGACTGCAACCTTGAAGTCTGTTGCAAAGACCCCCTGCTTTCAGGCCAACTTCTCCCAATTTCCACACTGACATTGAATATGTTTTGTTATCTGACATTTGCTTTATAGCATCATTAAATATTCTTCTTGTTTTCATCTCATTTTTTTCTACAGCCCCCAGACATGTCTGATCAACTGTGAACTGTAGTGTAGTATGCTTCAATTCTAGTAGAATAGCTGTCATCAGGATTCGTTTTGATGATCAGATTTTGCTATTTCACTACAAGTTGAATGCCACTATTTTTTAAAAATATGTAATTTGGTAGATAAATGTCTTTCGGCTGTAATGGGCCAAATTTCCCAATTCAAACAATTCTGTATGTTTCAGAAACAAAAGCCACTACTGTTTTCTAAAATAGACTTATAATTCTATATCCTGTGAATATGCATTCACCTAATAAAAGAAAATCTCTTCAAAAGATTCATGCAGTATCAGCTTAAAAAGTAAGGCAACAGCTTTCCTCTTTCTACCTCCTCTTGTCTTCCAGGAAGACCAGCAGAGACACTAAAAAAAAATCTGTAATTGTTCTATTGCTGTCAGGGAAAAGATAACAGAAGCATGGATCAAGCCTAAGGAGCATGTTATCTAAGAAAAAGGTTGAGGATTTCGGCTGTGTCTTGTTCCCAGTGATTAGTGGCTACATCAGAAACAACTTATGTGGACCTACCAACACAAAATTTAGTCTCTGAACATTTTAATTTCACTGCATCAAAAAAGCAGGGTGTTCAGTACTATTGTCTGTCTTGCAAACTCCTCAGCCTACGTTGACTCACAGAAAACAGTGCTTCCCAGTGAGTTTAAGGAATGCAGTTTACTTTGCTACTTCTCCTTCCCAGCAGTTCGTTTCCTTCTCCAGAGGCAGCTTCAGTATTAGCTATTTATTTTTTCCTAACTAAATACTGTATATCCTGCAAAATACAATAGCTAAACAGATCTGCTATTAAGTAGCTAACTTGCCCCTCACTTGTAACTCATGTCCAAATAATTCTTTCTCTAAACAATACCTCTGTTTACCTTTTTTTTTTTTTTTTAATGGTACTGGGGTTTGAACTCAAGGCCTCACACTTGCAGCCACTCCACCAGCCCATTCCTATGTTTATATTGTTTGAATTCCATTAATGTGCCTCCTCCCATTTTGACAGTTTTTTCCCTTTTGAGACAGTGCTGGAGCTGTTGTCTCTTACATTTTGGGGTTTTGAAAGGATTTGGCCTTGCTAAGTCTAGTTAGATTACTGAACTGGAAGGGTTATTCACTCTACCTACCTTCTTAGAAAGGTGGGGCAGATAGGGCATATGAAAGTTTGTACTTGTTACAAACTCAGGCCAGTTTGTCTGCCATCTGGAAATAGAAGCTAGTACTTCTATCTAATTCTGTAATGTTGGGCACATTACCTTTGGTAAAGGCATTAATGAGGTATTTGATAGAACTCATTATTTATTTCCCTCTAATTGAGGACAAATGTCCAGTCCAACTATAAAGAATCATCCCTTTGTAGACATTTAGTCAAAAATGAGGACGAATGTCCAGTCCAACTATAAAGAATCATCCCTTTGTAGACATTTAGTCAAAAATAATCAAGTTTAAGACTAGGAAAGTTTGAGAAACATACGTTGAAAACATTTAGATTTGTTTCCTCAAGACTGAGTATCAGCTTCACCCGTTACCCCACCAGGGAACTGGTCAGTATGTACTGATCCACAGAAACCACCCTGGGTTACAGATCATGGCTGTTAGTGAAAATAGTATGTGTTTTTGTATTTTATGACTAATATATATGTACATATATATTACACTATGTAAATTAATATTTCAAAACCTTAGAGAAGAGATCAAGTAGACAACTATGTTAAGTGAAAACAAAGAGAATTACCCTTGGAATAATCAAAGTCATAGACTATCACTAATCATGCAGGTGATATCTATATAGAAAAATTGAACACAGGAACCGTGTGTTCCAATTTTCAGCACCATAAAGGAAATACTGAGGGCAAGATATTACTAAGCAATACCTTTAGTGTATCATTTTGGGTGTCGTCATTAAGGGGGACTCCCCACTTGGTTAAGAATTTGCTTACAGGAGGAAACACTGATTGAAAAGTAGTGTGTTTCTGGGTGTGTGGCTCAGCAGAGCTGTTTTTAATCAGTGGGCATTGAGACTAATTATGCTTCCTGAAAATGGGCCAGCCTATTTTGAAAAAAGAAGCTAGGTGATGAAATGACATTAGTTTTTCATTTCATAACTCTTACGGTCTGTTAAAACAGCATGCATTATGCTAGATAGCATTAGTGGCTACATAATTGTCTTTGGCGTCTTTCAATTTTAACATAGTAAAGATACCCCCTAAAAAATTATGCAAGTAATAGTGATTGTCTTGCCTGTTTCCCACATCAATTACTTTCCATTTTATGGAACTTTTACATTATTACCTTTGTTCTTATAAAATCCTTTGTTTTTCATCTGCCCATTTGTGGACAGGGAAAATGAAGACCAGAGATTATGTGACTTCTAAAAAACTATGTAACTTATTAATGGCTCAAACTTATAAATTTGCTTCAGTATCTATTATAACTATGCAACCCTTTTCATCAGCCTTTTGTTTTCAAATAAGTAGAGCTCCTTTTTTATGGAATACTAGCTTTCAGTTATGGTCATTAAAAAATAGGGTGGAATGTAGCCTTGTAACTTCATATGATTTGTTTTACGAAACAGCAATCATCTGAACTGCTAAGAACTAAGGTTAGCATGCTGATAGTGACTTTAATTTCTAATATGTCTAAATGTTGGATGTGTTCTGCTAGTTTTAATATTCAAGTTCTTTAGAACTTTCTTGTATATAAACACGCAAACACAAAGTATGTTGTCTCATTGTGTAGTAAATACAGAAAAAGCAAACTATTTTTGAAACTAGAAAACAAATTTGCTTTTAAAATTGAAACCTGGATTTTTGGTTTTTATTTTAAAATTCTAGGTCAAACATTTGATTCGACAGGAGATGTGTAGTATAAATTACAAACTCTTTGATGAAAAACTGAATGAATTGAGGGAACGCATTGGGAAGACACAATGCAGGAATAAACATGAAGCAATCGCTTGTGAACTCTTTGTAAGTTTCTAATTTCATTTGAAACCTTTTAAAAAGTGGAATTTGGTGCTGGAGATTATAGCTCTGTGATAGTGTTTGTCTGGCATGGTTTGTGGTAGTGTTTGGCCCATCATCACCAAAAAAAAAAAGAATTTTATGATACCTTATATATTAGGAAAGGCAAACAATAAAGGAATACCACATTTGATTCCTGGCCATAGCCTAGTTGAAGTGTATAGAGACAGCAGAATTTACTTTATGTCAGCAGTATTGGCCTTTGAGAAACGCTGTTAGAACTGTCCGGCCTCTGCATCAATTGACAGCTTGCACCCTGGCAGTTTCCTACATTCTTAGTGTGGTCCTGTAATATGTCTTTTACTAGAGCTTGTGTGACGTGCCATAAGCTCTGTTGGAATTTTTTGTTTTATTCTTCTGGGGTTATTTGCTGATCGATTGATATTTTTACCAACATCAGTTTTATTGCAGACTAATTAAAAATGTCATATTTTTACGTTTCTTTTTCTTTTTCTGGAGAGAGTCTAGCGGTATTCTCCAGGCTGACCTTGAATTCTTTGGTTCTCCTGCATCAGCCTCCTTAAAGACCTGTCCATTCTTGAATATATACAAGCATAAAATTTGCTTTAAATCTTTTGCTTACACAGACAGCCGTCCTATCCTTGGGTTCTGCATCTGCGTATTTATATTGGAAATATTCATGGAAAAAATGTGTCTTGAACATATAAATCTTTTTTTCTTGTCATTAATTCCTAAAAGTATAGCATAACAACCACGTATGTAGCATTTATGTTATATAAGGTATTTTAAGTAATCTAGAGAGGTTTTAAAATACAGGAGAGGATGTGTACTGTTTATATGCAGATACTGATGCCATTGTATAAAAAGAATTCAGCATCCTCAGATTTTAGTGTCTGCAGGGCCTGTCACCAGTCCCCCACAGATACCAAGGGATGTCTATAAAGAATTTCTCATTTATTTGAGTGGATGCTTAAGCCTCACAAGACTACTTTGACAAAATAGTTTTCCCTCTATTGATGTATTACTTAGTACTGTGGTTTGGCTTTACATTTTTCTTTCTACCAGGTAAAAGTGACAAGACTTCGCAGACGTATTAAAGCAGTATTACCTCAGAGGAATTGTTTGGAGTCTAACACATTATCCAGTAATACAGCCCGTAAGGTTGGTATAAACGCACAGGAGTTTTAACAACCTATGTGACTTATTATACGTAGTTGGATTATAGGAAATAAATATATTCCCAAGCAAAAACAAAAAACTGTAAAGGACAACAAACTTAGACTGTTTCCTTGAATCTGTCTCTAGAGAAGAACAGTTAGGTAATAAAGTAAGTGCCCTGCAGTAAAAGGAGGGAAGAGGGGATTGGTGATAGCCTGGATTGTCCATCCCCCTGCCATCTCATGACTTTATCATGAAACGTGTCAAACATATACAAAAAGTGGAAAGAATTTTACAGTGAATATTCATTCAGCACCTAAAGAATTTACCTTTAATATTTTGCTAAACCAGGGCTGCAGGGATGGCTAAAACAGTACAGTGCCTGCCTAGCAAGTACAAATCCTTGAGTTAAATTTTTTTTTTTAACTAAATTTTGTCATGTATCTATTCATCTCCTCTAAGCCATCTTATATCTGGTACATTCATAGTGCCAGTGTATTTTGTATCAAAACACAATATTTCAGAATATTACATGTATATTACAGTGATATAGCATGCAGAGCAAGTGGAATTTGTTAACTGTTTTACATAAAAATTTACAGTGTTTCATGCATGTTCGTCAATTTTTTAAAATCAGATTTATGTTAGCCTCACTAGATGAATAGAGAAGCATCCCTCCTCTGTTTTCCAAACATTTGTACAAGATTTTTATTCCTTGAATGTTTGATAGAATCTGAATCTGTCTCTGCAAACTGGGTAAAGAGCTTTTTTTGTTTTTCAGTGGTTTGTGTGTTAAAGTCAGGGCTTCACACTTCACTTACAAAGCAGGCACTCTACCTGCAGTTGGAGCTTTCCTTTTAAAAATTTAAGTTTTACTTAAAAATAAATTCTTAGAACAATTTAGATTTTTCTTTTCATCTTGTATGGTCTTTTACATACTTTAGATATAGTTCTTTTTCCAGCTTATGAAAGAAAGAGCGTAATTTTTAATCTTTTTTCTACTAAAAACATTTAAAGCTAAATATCTAAGTGCAAGTTTTTTTTTTCTAAACACCTTCTAAGCTTTTTAATTAGTGCTTAAGTTGTGCACTTCTTAGTGCAGAAGTCTTGATAGATTTTACTTTGTTTACTATCAATTCAGAATAATTTCTGATTTCCATAGTCATATTATCCTTTGACCTGTGGACTATTTAAATGTGTGTGTTTATTTGGAACGTTCTTGACCATGTTTTTTTATTGATGTCTAATTTAATTCCATTTTGATCAGACAACATGTTTGTTTATTTGTTTTTCATGGTTCTGAGGTTTGAACTCACCTTCATGCTTCCTAGGCCAGTGCTCCATCACTTGAGCCACACCTCCAACCCTAAAATTTCATTTTTAATGGTCGATGCTTATTTTATAGACTACCATATAATTTCCCTTCACGAATATTCCATGTTCAGAATGTTAGGTATGACATTCTATGCTACTTTTATGTTGATTGTACCAAGGTGGCTGATAATGTTTAGGCCTTTATAGCTGTGGTAGACTCAGTAATTGCTCCCCCAGCCACCAGGATCTTTGTAATCAGATGTTCAACACCTGTGACTGTTACTTTACATGGTAAAATGGATTTGTAGATGTGATTAAATTAAGTGCCTTCAGCTGTGTTACCTGGGTGGGGTCAGTGTAATCATAGGGTCCTTACGATTCAAAGCAGAAGGAAGGTGGCACAGGGAAGCAGATGTTGGAGTGAGCATATTGAAGATGGAGGAAGAGGCCCAAGCCTAGGAATGTAGGCAGCCTCTAGAAGTTAGAAGAGAAAGGTATTTTTGGCCTCATTTTTCAGGCTCCACTGGGACTCATGTTCATTCCCTGTGCTGTTGGGTGAGAAGTCAGGAAATGTTGACCTGTGGTCTCTGCCACACAGTGGACCGGCCTGCTGTAGGTATGGAGCAGATGTGCTGCTGATGGATGGTTCAGTGGCCTAGGTCCTACTGCTGTCCCACATGTAGGAAGATGGCCACACTGCCATGGAAGCAGATTACTGCCCTTCAGGGTCTGGAGATTTGGAAATTGGTGTCTGGATGATCTCTGCTACCGCTGCTGCTACAGCCAGTTAGATTGCCAGTATCCCACTTGTCAGATGGGGACCAGCTGACACTGATGCTTTTTCGAGTTGGATCCCCTGAGTCTGTAGATGTGAGGGTGGGTAACCACCACTGGTACAGGTCTGGGGCAAAGGAGGTCTGGCTCCATTGACATCCAGTGTTGGAAGTACGGAGAATGAAGGAACACTCAGGTAGGGCATGGTGGTGCCTCCCTGTAATGCCAGCACTCAGGAGCCAGAAGGATTATGAGTTAGTGTCCAACCTGGACTACATAGTGAGTTAAAGACCACGAGACTGTCTCAAATAAATAAATACATACAGCTTATATTTAGCATACCCACTATGGTGTTCCTCTCCAGTCATGAGGTCCCCAGCCAATCTGCCTTTGCCTTTTTTTCTTCAGAATTGATTTATTATTATCTGTAGAGGAACAGGGAAAGTGAGCCCATGCTACTTGTCCTAGAACTGAGAGGATACCAACTCTTTTGTACCGTTTCTTTCAGTGTTGTTTTGATGTATTCTTCACATAGACTGTTCATTCAATATAATAGGACTTCAGAATCCTGCCTTGATAGTTCTTTCTGCGTTTTTGTTCACGCTGTCCCCTAGGAAAGCCCATTCATCGGCAGTTGATCCTTTTAAAGTGCACATTCTCAGCCAAAACGTGGACTAAATGTTTCAGCCCACACTCACCAGCTAGAAAAGTTTGTGGACAATCTGTATTTCTGGTCTTTATTAAAAGTATAGCATCATTTAAAAGTTTCTTTGTTAAAAAAATTAGGTTTTTTAGTTCCTAAAACTTAGATTAATAGAAAACAGAGTATTGCTTAAGTACCTAGGCCTTTAATTCCCCTCCTTATCATCCAAGCTAGAAAGTTTTGTACCATTGTTGGTATTCCTTGTCCTGTTTAAAAGTTCATTTTGAGGAGAACTCATAATTGGTGGTCATTTGAAATACATGCAATTTAATGTTTGGAAATGCATATACAAGAATGTTTTGAAGGTATTTTCCATGGAAGATTGACATGTCATTATTCTTACTCTTCACTCATCTGCTTCTTCCTTACCTCTTTAACAGATTGGAAATTCACAGGCCACAAATTTGGGTAAGAATCAAGAGTCGGTTAGTGGTCCAAATGAGAAAGCGGCTTCTGTGAACTGTGAACCTTTTAACCCTTCAGAAAAAGCAAGGGAAAGGATTAAGTTGTCTTCGGATAGTGTTGAGTTTGTTTCTGAAAGGTAGGCATTTCTATAAAAACCCCATAAGCTTATTTATCTAGTTATATGATTATAAACACACCCATTTCTCAGGTAAGTGTAAAATAGCTTAGAGCTTCATATTCACATGCAGTTTTCCTTCCTGATGAAGGAATACAGTTGGTTCTCTAGCGTTTTGCCTTTGCTTTACAACAATAAATTTTTGAATTGGTCAGGTGATCAGGTTTTTTGTTGGAACACTTTTCACCTTTGGTATAATGGTTAGTGGATCAGTTAGTTCCCTTATGTTGAAAGTACTGTCGTGACTTCAGATCAGAGTGAACAAGTTAATTGAATCATAAAGCATCTAATCTCTAATGTAGTCTAAAAGACTGGGGCTAGTGCAGAAGAATGTGTAGTTCACGAGAGGAACATGCTTGTAAGTCCTGGCCTGGTTGCTGCTCAGGGTGGGGGTGGCATGGGCGTAGTAATGAGTTGTTTTCTCCTCACTGGTGATGGCTGCTTTGCTACTTTATGATACTATTTATTGCTAACAGTCCTTAAACCTTCTGTAGGCTTATTCTTATGTGTTAGATTATGGGTCACAAGTTTTAAAAAGAGAAAAATAATCAAAAATAAATGAACTAAATGATAACCATTGTTTGAAGAACACCTGCATTCCCCCCTCCCCAATTACTGTTCATACACAAGTGTGCCATTTCAGATCCATACATTTTCAGTAGATTCTTGGCAATCGAGAATCGAACATGCAGTTTTGACTTTTCAGGAGCTCCCCTGTCATTCCATGATACTGAGATCCCAATTTTAGTTTTGAGCCACAAGCTGCTAAAAGAAGTCATTTAGTTGGTGAAGGCAAGAATCACATTTCAGTGAATGGATGTTGTCTTCCTTTGGTAATGCATGTTTGAAGCATATAAAGTAACAAAAAAGGAAAACAAAGTGGTGATGATGGAAGCGAATGCATGACTAAAACAGCACTTTAGACGAGTGTCCAACAAGTGTTAGGCAGCGGGTTGTATCTGTGACATAAATAGATCTACTTTTATGTTTTGTGCTGCAAGCAGAACCTGCAGTTTGTGCAACTGTTTGAAGTAGCAGACACACTGAGTCTTAGTGAGGGCGCAAGTCACTGTCACATGTGTAGCTTGTTCCTGATGGCTTCAGTGGTGAGTAGAAATGGAAAATTGTAGCCCACTCTAACCCACAGAACAGATGCAGACATGCCAAACAAGATTCCAGTAAATCAACTTGAACTGCAATGTTGCTTTAATAATACAAAATTATTGATACAATTTGCTACAAGATTAATCACTATCAACTCAAAATAGTTTTAGGAATTGATAAAATATCTGTTGGGTTAAAACAGATTCTTGGCAAACTCAGAATACAAGAACTTCCTTAATCTAATGGAGTATCTACAAAAACTAAAATACATCTATTGGTGAGACATTGGAAACATTTCCTGAGAATCGAAACAGGAGAAAGATACTGCTGCCACTACTTTATAGAGCTCCAAATTTCTTAGCTAATAAAGAATGCAAAAGATATAAAGAATTACTAAAGAAGGAGCAGTATTCTTACTGTGTCTTAGATGAAAGGAACCTATAGACAGGTTGTTAGGATTAATTAGAGTTGATATGGTTGTTGAACTCACATACAAGAAAATCAGTTGTATTCCTGTTTTTGGTATGGGGATACTGGGGTTTGAACTTAGGCCCTTAAACTTGCTAGGCAGGCACTCTGCTACTTGGGCCACACCTCAGCCCTGTATTCTTTTTTTTTTTTTTTTTTTGTCGTTTCATTTTGACACACGGTCTCACTGTGTAGGCCAGGCTACCTTTGAACTCACAATCTCCTGCCTCTGCCTCTGCTTCCTGAGTGCTCAGATTACAGCCATACTCCACTACACCCAGCTTTAGTTGCATTTGTATATATATTAGATATAAACAATTAGAATGTGAAATTTTATTTTATTTATTTTTTGTCAGTACTGGAATTTGAACTTAGGATCTCTTGCTTGGTAGGCAGAAGCTCTACCAGTTGAGCTATGACCCCAGTCATTTTATAGGGTACAATTTCAATCTATCCCCATGTGTAATTTTATGGACCTTAATTGGGTTTGGTTTTAAAACTTACATAAATGAAATGAGTTTAGAGGGCAAGGTACCCTTTATTTATTTGGGGTAGGGGGAAGACTACAGGGTGTTGAACTCTGGTCCTAGCACTTGCTAGCGAGCATTCTACCACCTGAGCCACTCTGCTAGTCCTCCAAGATACTCTTTAAATAGAGAGGCAGAATGGAAGGAAGTTGCCATTAGGTATCATATGGGAACATTACACAGCTGCAGCAGTTAGGATAATGTAATGTTGGCAAGTACTTGACAGATAGACTGTAACAGAGAGTCCAGAATCCATCCATGCGTGTGCATGTGTGATAAATGACGAAGATTGTATGGCAAACCATTTGGAAAATGATTGACTTTCAGTAAATGTTGCTGTCTTAATTTGTTCTTTGTGTTGTACAAAATGTGAATTCCATATCAGGTTGAACAAAAATATATGTGGATAAGGAACTAAATATTTAAAGAAAGCTGTAGAGCTTTTAAAATATCAACACTTCCATGAATGTAAACGAGAGCTCTTGACATAAAAGAAAACTGATTAATTTTACTTCATTAAAATTAGAAACTTCTTTCCTCAAAGGCATTAACATGATAGTGAGAAGACAGGTCATGGAGTGGAGAAGATAGAGCACATGTTACGTGGAGAGGGATAGGGTGCAGAATATCAAGAACTTCAAGTCAAGTCAGTGAAGCCAGATAACACAGAGATCTGGGCAAAAGATTCATGCGTCCATTTCACTAAAAGAGGGACTAAATGGGCCATAAACAGGAAAAGGTGTTCATTCTCATTGGTGGTCAGGGAAATGCAGATACTCTTGCATATCAGGTAAGAAAGAGATAGTTTAAATATTTGAGAATACCTGGTATTGTTGAGGCTTTGCAATAGAGGAAATTGTCCATTTAATATTATTTAAGTTGCTATTTAATATTTTGTTGGGTAGTACTTTAAAAGACATTGACATTAGCTAGAACACTGAAGATCTGAGTGTTCTTTGACCTAACAGCCCCGTCCCTTTGATAAATGCCCAGCTGCACACATGCACGCACACACTCACAGCAGGAAGTATGTGTGGCCACGTGGATTAGCTGCGTTTTCCCTAACAGCCAAAACCCACAATGAAAATGTCCATTTAGAGTTCAAAAGAAAAAGAAATTGTAGTTAATCCATATGGTGGAGTGCTATGCATGAAGTAAAATGAACATTGTGACTTTACTCCCATAGAAGCAGACACACACAAAAAATGCTATGATTACACTTAAATGAAGTTCAAAAATAGCCCCAAACCACCAGGTGCCAGTGGCTCACACCTGTACTCGCTCCTAGCTACTCAGGAGGCAGAGATCCAGGAGGGTCATAAAAGCCAGCCCAGGCAAATAGTTCATGAGACCCTATCTCAAAAATACCCCACACAAAACAAGCCTGGTGGAGTGGCTTAAGTGGTAGAGCACCTGCCCAGCAAGTGTGATGCCCTGAGTTCAAGCTCCAATACTGCTCCCCCCTCCCCCCAAAAAAATAGCCCCAAACCAAAACATGATTTAAATCCATGGCAAACCAAAAGAGTAAAAACAAGGAAATTGTACCACAACTGCTCTTTGTGGGGGAAATTTACTTCCCTGAATGGCAGCCACAGGGTTGGTAGCTTTGTAATTACTTAGGAAGTAGAATATGTATCTTTAACCCAATATGAAAGTAATTATCTTTTAATCTGAAAATCCACATTATTTATGTTTATTGTAATCTTAGATATACAGAGCTCATAATTATAATCTTACTGCTTTTTTCCTCCTAGTCTTACTTTTATTGTCTTTTCCCCACCTGTGTCTGACTGCCTTTATTTTAGTCATCTTTTGAGTTAATTTTCTGTTTCCCAATGCCTTGTTAATTATATTTCGTTGTTTCTTTAGAAGTTATCCTAAAGGTCACAATGCATTCTTCCCCCACTTTGAGACAGGTTCTCAATATATAACCCTGGCTGGTCTTGAACTCGCAGTCCTCTCTCTCCCTATGCTTTTCTTCTCTGGGAACTTGATCCCTCAAGTTGTGGCTGGTGCTGCCACATCTTTCTAATATCTTCAAACATTTTTATTATTTCTTTCCTTAAATTTTTTAAATAGAACTTTTCAAATCGTTTGAGTGTGAGGGTTCCATCATAGTTCTGCATCTCAATTTTTATACATTATATTCATATAATTTATTTCTTAAAAGACTTAAGAAATAAAGAAACCTTTAAAAAAGAAAGAAAAAGGAATATATTTCCCCCATATTATCCGGCTCAAGAGAAAACCAGGAGGTTTTATAATTGTTTTCCTGATGCTGCAGATAATTGAAGGAATTAGAGCCACTAGTAACTTTCTGTGTCTATTAATGGTTATTAGATTTAGAAGTTTAAGCATTTCTTTTTTAGAATGTGAAGAAAATGGGAAAGGCAGTATAGCTGAGCTGCAGAGGCACAGAGAAGAGAAGGCTCTGGACCAAAATCAATATTGGTGAAGAAGAAGCCTGTTTATGTGCAGTCGTTCCCAAAGATGAAAACTAAACATGATGGTCTAATGTATCCAAGAACAGGCCACTTCACTAACTTTGATTGAAAACAGTGTTGATACTGCCTTAGGAAAATAGCATTGTATTTTATTTCATATAAAGCAATGTTTACAAAGATGCAAAAGGGAAAAAGAGTTACCAGCCGCTGTATTTCAAGAAATTTCCATGTGGTAGGATACACGCACACTTAGTCACGGCTGCTGAAGAGGTAGAGATTAACAGTATCTTGCTTTGAAACCAGCCGGGGCAAAAAAGTTAGAAAGACCTCCCCGCATCTCAACTAGCAAACCAGGCAGTGCATGGTGGAATGCTCCTGTAATCTCAGCTACATGGGAGTCTTACATAGGAGGATCTGT